TATCTCTGTTCTCCGTTTCATTGTTTCTTTTGTTTCTCTCTCTCTCTCTCTATCTCTCTCTCTCTCTCGCGCGTCCTCTCTCTCTCTCTCTTTTTCTCTTCTCTCTAGCCTTGGCTCGAGCCCACCCCCACCCTGTGGTGCGCGAGCAGCTGCGAAGGCATCCAACCCTCCCAGGGCCATCTCAAAAAAAAACCTCCCTCGTAAGGCCGGACTTGGCCCCGGGACCGACCCTGACCGATACCTGCCGTTCCCCACCCCTCTCTCCTCCTCCTCCTCCTCCTCCTCCTCCTCCTCCTCCTCCTCCTCCTCCTCCTCCTCCCTCCTCCCTCCTCCTCCTCCTCCTCCTCCTCCTCCTCCTCCTCCTCCCTCCTCCTCCTCCTCCTCCTCCTCCTCCTCCTCCTCCTCCTCCTCCTCCTCCTCCTCCTCCTCCTCCTCCTCCTCCTCCTCCTCCTCCTCCTCCTCCTCCTCCTCCTCCTCCTCCTCCTCCTCCTCCTCCTCCTCCTCTCCCCCCTGTGCCGCTCGCCGCGGCCGCGCCACGGACAAGAGCCCCCCGCGCGACGAGCACCGCTCCTTCCGCAAAAGGGGCCCACGCGCCGCTGAGCAGACACGAGCGTGTGCTGGCAGAGATGCGTGCGCTGCCGCCCCCCTGTGCAGGTGGCCCCGACCGCACCCACCTACGTGCACACTACGAGCTCACAACCAGAGTCCCTGACAAGTTTATACTGGCTGGGAATACTAGGAACAAGTAGTTGTGTGTACATATATATATATATATATATCAGAGTGAGGGGGACGAACGGTCGTTCACTGTCCCTGGGCGCGTGGCTGAACTGGGAATTCACGATGCGGATTCTAATTGTTGTCGTTGCTGGTTGGCTGTTGTCGCTGTTGTTTGTATTGCTGTTGGTGGGGTGTTGGTGGTGGTGGTGTTGTTGGTGGTGCTGCTAGTGTTGTTTGTGATGGTGCTGTTTGTGGTGTTGTTGTTGTTGTGGTTGTTGTTGCTGCGGTTGAACTCTCACTACTGAGAAAAAAGAAATCACTATTCTTGATCCCCCCTCCGTAGACCATTGTTTTTCAATGTAAATGCTTCCTCTGGGGCTCGCACCCGGTTTTTCACATATATATATATATATATATACATACATACATATACATATGAATATAGTCTACCGATGCACACACATATATATATATATATATATATATATATATATATATAAAACAAGGACAGCCACTAGGGTCAAACTGCGTTGCTGGCCTTCGGATTACAACAACAACAACAACAACGGCTCCCGCCTGAGACTTCCTCACGCTTTAGCCAGGACCCCCGCTCCCGCCTGAGACTTCCTCGCATGTTACTATGGAATCACGCTCTCGCTTCGGACTTCCTTACAATTCATTCAGGAATAGCTTCCTCGGCGCTCTGGAATCGAGCTCTCGCTGGAGATTTGTGTGCAATTTGCTCAAGAATCGCGCTCCTGCGCTGGAGCCCCCCGAAATTTACTCGACCGCCGCGCTCCTGACCCTCAGGCGCCCAGGAGTCGCGGTCACGCTTAAGATTCCCTCACAGCTTACTTGGAATCGGGATCTCGCGGCCCGTCGTGGCCCCGTTGCAGCCCTTCGTGGCCCCCTCGCTGCCCTTCGTGGCCCCATTGCAGCTTTTCGTTGCCCCCTCGCTGCCCTTCGTGGCCCCGTTTCTGCCCTTGGTGGCCCTCTCGCTGCCTTTCGAGGCCCCATTGCCGCCCTTGGAGGTCCCCTCGCTGTCCTTCGTGGCCCTGTTGCAGCGCTTCGTGGCCCCCTCGCTGCCCTTCGTGGCCCCGTCGCAGCCCTTCGTGGCCACCTCGCTGCCATCCGTGGCCCCATTGCAGCCCTTCGTGGCCCCCTCGCTGCCCTTCGTGGCCCCGTTGCTGCCCTTGGTGGCCATCTGCCCTTCCTGGCCTCGTTGCTGCCCTTGGTGGCCTCCTCGCTGCCCTTCGTGGCCCCGTTGTGGCCCCCTCGCTGCCCTTCGTAGCCCCGCTCTCGCTCCCGCTCTCGCTCTCGCGTTCGCTCGTCGTCGTCGTCGTCGTGGTCGGTCCCTTGTCCGTACCGCTTGGGGTCGGGCTGCCGCCGGTCAGCGCTGCCGCTGGCCAGGCCGACGGTCCGCGGCCGCCCCGCCGCTTGCCGGGGCCCAGCCTGCAGGGAAGAAAAATATATCCTCCAAAAGGGGTACGATCGATGACAAAGAGGGCGGGTATCGAGGGTTTGGGAAACACACGTTGAATAACGCTCGAGCAGATAATAGCGAACAGTCTTACAATGATTGTTGTTGTTGTTGCCGTTGATTTGCTGTTGATGTTATTGTAGTTGCTGCAGATGTTGTAGTTGTTATAGTTGTTGTAGTTGTTGTTGTTGTTGTGTTTGTTGTTGGTGTTGGTGTTCTTATTGGTGGTGCTGTTGTTGTTTCTGTTGTTGTGGTTGTTGTTGTGGTTGTCGTTGTTGTTGTTGTGGTTGTGGTTGTGGTTGTTGTTGTGGTTGCTGCTGTTGTTGCTGTTGTTGCTGTTGTTGATGATGTTGTTGTTGTTGTGGTTGTGGTTGTTGTTGTTGCTGCTGCTGCTGCTGTTGTTGTTGTTGAACTCTCATTCTTGAAGAATAATTATTGTTGATCCCCCCCACCGGTGCACATTGATTTTTTTCGATTGAAGTGCCACCCCCGGGGCTCGCACCTTGTTTTTTCTCAAGGAAAGTCTTCCTGCTCAAACTGTGCCCCTGCCCCCCGGGCTACAACAACAACGGCTCCCGCCTGAGACTTCCTCGATTTTTACTCAGGACCCCCGCTCCCGCCTGAGACTTCCGCGCAATTTACTCAGGAAAGGCGCTCCCGTCTGAGACTTCCTCGCAATGTAATCAAGACCCCCGCTCCCGCCTGAGACTTCCGTGCAATTTACGTGGGAACGGCGCTCCCGCCTGAGACTTCTTCGAATTTTACTCAGGACCCCCGCTCCTGCCTGACATTTCCGCGCAATTGACTCAGGAACGGCGCTCCCGCCTGAGACTTCCTCGCAATTTAGTGAGGACCCCCGCTCCCGCCTGAGACTTCCGTGCAATTTGCTCAGGAACGGCGCTCCCGCTTGAGACTTCCTCGCAACTTAGTCAGGGCCCCCGCTCCGCCCGAGATTTCCTCACAATGTACTCAGGACTGCGCTCTCGCGTGCGACGTCCTCACAAATTATTCTGGAATTGCGTTTCGGCGCTCAGGAACCACGCACGCGCCAAGGACGCCTTCACAACGTGGTATCTTCCCTCTTCCTTCGTCCTTCCCCCTCCCCTTCCTCCCACTCTCCCTCGTTCTTCCCCTCCTCCTCTTGCAGGGCCCGCGCCAATTCCAATGGCGGGCAGAGAGATGTACGCCCCCGAAGGATTGTCCGCCCGTTCCGGTTTGCCCGTACGTCTAAGCCCGCCGGCCCCAGCAAAGAGAAATAATCCCCCCGAAAGGGGTGTGATCGAAGACGAAGAGGGCGGGCATCGAGGGTGTAGGGTACACGTGTTGAATGACTCGCGGGCAAGTAAGAGCGTACAGCCTTAAAATGGTTGTTGTTGTTGTTGTTGCTGTTGTTGTTGTTGGTGTTGTTGTTGTTGTTGTTGTTGTTGTTGTTGTTGTTGTTGTTGGTGTTGGTGTTGTTGTTGTTGTTGTTGTTGTTGTTGTTGTTATTGTTGTTGTTGTTTGGCGTCGTCCCCCACGCGACCCACCCGCGACCCACCCGCGAGCCGCCCGCGACCCGCCCGCGACCCACCCGCGAGCCGCCTGCGACCCAGCCCGCAACCCACGCGCGACCCGCCCGCGACCCACCCGCGAGCCGCCCGCGGCCCACCCGCGACCCACCCGCGACCCACCCGCGACCCGCCCGCGACCCGGCCGGCGACCCACCCGCGACCCACCCGCGACCCACCCGCGACCCACCCGCGACCCAACCCACAACCCACCCACATTTCTTTAACGAAAAAAATCGGCGCCTGCGGCGGGCCCGCTGTAGAATTTGTAAATTTATGCTCCTGCGGCGGGCTCTTCAGGGCCTCGCAGACTGCCGACGTCCAAGCCGCACACCTCCACTCTTATCCGTAACTGCGGGGTGCTACGTATATATAACTAACGCAATGCCAGCCTCCAGCGCTTGTGTGACAAGTGTGAGATCAGCTGGGCGCTGGATCACCAGCGACGCACCAGGGGCCAACGCACGGGTGGGGCGCCGACCCCACCTCGGGACGGACGTCCTCAAGACGCTGCGGAGGCACATCCCCCAGCCTCGACCCAAACGATTGGTCCGTCCCAGCCTCAGCTCGCCCGACCCGCAGGACAGTAGGCGATATAATAATTACCAGCAGCTCGCTCCACGGCCATGGTGACAGCGAGCAGCTGTTTTCGCAACTTCGTCGACAGGATGCCCCACTGGCTGTGATCCTCCTCGGCCGTAAGATCAGTGAGTACCTTGGCGCGGAGATGGCTCAACGAGGGGGCCGCGCTGCTCAGGCCGATGCCATCTACTCGCTCTTGCGCTGTTCAGGCCGATGCCATCTCCTCGCTCTTCACGTAGCACTTCTCGGGCGTCGCCCCGATCAACGGAGTATGTCACAGTAACCCTGACGCTGGTGGGCCAAACTGCCGCACGAGATCGGTACCAGCTCTCCACGAAGAACCAAGCACGGTTGGAGCCAGACGCGGCCTTTCAAAACGCATTCGCCAACATCTTCGCAGCACACTTTTCCAGCGTGGCCATAAAGGAGAGAGCCCCACCAGGCTCAGACGACATGGGACCACGAATGGGAAGCGCATGCTCTGCGTCACCAGCGGCGTTGTTCCCACCGACGCGGACACCGTCCTGGCTGCGCTAGGCTGCGCAACCGCCACCTTTGAACTCAGATACCGCACCAAGATCGACGACGCCGCACGCTCAGACGACGTCACCGTGACTGGGTACAAAGGCACCAGCATCACCCCCGCCGACGCCTGCACCGAATCCCACCGCCTTGGCGTCCTCGGCGCCGTCAAAGGTCACAAGTGCCAGACCGTCCGTGTTCGGCGTGGCGCCGTCGCCATCGCACTGTGCGGTACGGCAGCCGCGCTGGCCGTCCAACGATACCGCATCGCAGGCATCGAGCCACAGGGTGCTGCGGTCACTCACGGGCCCCCAGTGTCCCGCCGAGGCCCACCACGTCGGGCAGCACAAAGGCTCCGCAGGGCACTGCGCCCTGGCGCGGGCGGCCAAGCACCGTACCAGCACCACAGTCGCCGTACGCGGGCACGGTTAAAACGTGGCAGAAAGGACGGCTGGGAAGGACGCAAGTCCCTTGGAGGCCGAAGTTGGATCTCTTGGTCGACGGGCGACCCGCGAAAACGACAAAGGACGGGTCGCAGTGGCGAGGACAGCCTCGCTTCTCTCCCGGCCGCCTGGGACGACGTCCGTGTGGGCCAGCGTACCGCGGCACCCTCCACCACCGTGCTGATGGCCTCCGTCCCGGCCGCCACCGGCACCTCCCACCAGGCGCGGCTGTAAGGCTGCTCGCTTCACCCCGGAATCGCTGTGCAAATACCTCCCTTCGTGGGGCCCGCGTGCCCTGGAAGGTGTCCCTCACCGCTGTTCCCGAGACGGGCGCGGTCCACATCTCGCGCACTCGCTCTCTCCACCAGCTCTCTGCATCGCCATCCCCCCCTCCAACCTCCTTCCATCCACCTTCCCCTCGCTGCCGCCCCCCTGCCCACAATGCGGACGGGAACGCTTGCTCAGCGTGTCGCCACGGCGGCCCCGGCGACACGCTGAGCAGGGCTCGGCGTGTAATAGCGCTTCGCTCTGCTCCGCGGGGCGGGAGGCTCGGAAAGGCTCGGGACGTTGCGCCGAGGCACGGTGGGCCAGAACCGGCGGCGCGACACGCGATCCAAAAGTTCCCGACCGCACTCCACCCTGCGGGGAACAGTGCCCCACCGCGAGCTCTGGAGACCAGATCGCACCGCGGCCCGCACGGTGCGGTCGGGGGGCCGAGCACCGCGCGCTTCGCGGTCATCGACTCCAACCACGCGGCCGTCTCCTGCGCGGTGGCCGCGCGAAAAACTGGGCAGCGAGCGGAGCGGACCACATCAACCTGTTCAGTCATGTTGAAAATTCTGCACCGTAATGGGCGTCAAGCCAAAACCTTGGACATAAGCGAATGGCTTGGACTTTGCACATCTCCGTCGGCTTAATCGGCAAGGCGTTGAACCACCTTGACGTCCCTTTTTTGGTGGCCCCGCAGAGAAAGGCGCTGAAGGTCGGGGGCGGCCAAGAGGGGGTCGTGCAAGAGGGGGGGGGGGGGCGCAAATCATGGCCGGCGGCATTTGCGCGGCCCAGGGGGAGGCTGGGGACGCAATGAAATAAGACGAGGCGCCATGAAATCTGGGGAGACATCATGGCCCACGCCATGATATCCCCCCTCCACCCCTAGTTGTCACCCCCCTCTTGGCCGCCCCCGAGGAGGAGGAGGAGGAGGAGGAGGAGGAGGAGGAGGAATGCCCTGGGAGGCCCCAGGAGGTCCTGGGAGGCTCAAAGGCTCCAGGAGGCCCGAAGAAGCCCCAGGAGGCCCCAGGAGGAGGCAGGAGGCCAACGGAGGAGGCAGGAGGAGGAGCAGGAGCAGGAGCAGGAGGAGGAGGAGGAGGAGGAGGAGGAGGAGGAGGAGGAAGCGCTCCGGCTTCACGCCCGACCAGGTGTGCGCGATGCCGTCCAGCGGAGGCCCCTGCCTGGCCAGCGGCGCGGCCCGCGACCCCGTGGCGCCGCCCACGGTGCTGCACAGGCCTGCGCGGCGGCGGAGGCGGGACCCACACACAGACATTCATTGGGCGCATGTAAAGGGGCCCAGGGAGACACACACACACACACACATATATATATATATGTATTATATATATATATACATTAGCACAAATCCAAGGATCCCCTATATTTTCCGTTATGTTCTGCGTCTTCGTCTTCTCCCCCACACACTTCCCATATCTTCCAATCCTTTCCTGGGAATCGACGATTAGTTGTGCTTGTGGACTTGTTCCCCTCCTGATCGTCCTCCTGCTACTGACTCTCCTGCTCTGCAGGGCACGGAGGCGACACCTGCGTTATAGTCAGATGGTTTCGCAGCACCTCGTGTAAGACGCCTGGGCCGATCTCCTCTCCTACTCAAGGAGTTGCGCGACGGTTGACAAAATCATGGCAACAGATGTGCACATCATTTTCGCCACTACCTCCAGTACCAACACCCTGACAATCAGGTCAACCTTGTACCTCGACAGTGCCGTCTTCGTTTGAGTGCGTAAATCGCGACTTGCACGAACACAGCCAGCTGTAAGTGTGTCGGGCACGTTGTCGGGTACAGCGGCAAGTACTTCGCCGAGAGCAGCAACTGGCAATCAGGATAGTTCTTCGGGTGCATCGTCAGGCACGCTGTCTGGTGCAGTGTCTGGCGCTGCTGGCATCGTACTAGTGTCACGCCCTTCTGTCGCTCGTCAATGTTCACGCGTAAGATGAGGCGACGATCGCGGCAGTCGTCGCAATCTGCCCCACTTCCAGTTGCTCCTCAACGAGGGACCTCCCCTTTATGCGGTTGACAAACACCACAAACTCGTCGCTTGCAAGGGGCGGCGCCAGAGGCACCGCCTGGAAGGTCCGGCGCCGATCCAATGAATCCGCGCGAATATTTGAATCCTCCTCCTCCATAAATCCGCGATGTATCGTGTATGTCGCTTCTTCTTCCTCGAACTGTGTATTGTCTACTGCGCGGCAGGGGCCCAAGGACGGAGGAGGCGGCACGGCGGGCGTGTGCCGAGGCGGCGGCCTCCGCTCTGGCGGTGGGCGGCACGGGGCTCGGAGGCGACAGCGGCGCTGCAGGTACAGTAGGGGCCCGACCACAAGAAACCTTCCACAAGAAACCGAGCCCTGAGACCCCAGGACGGTCATTGGTTTTTGGTGTGGGAACGCCACGCTGTTCATAGCCGAGCCATCGAAACCCAACAAACCCAGGCCACCCTGGAGGCAAGCAGGGTGTTTCTTGGCATGGGCCTCCACTGTATCTGGGCAGCTGTCGTCTGGCAGTGTTCTGTCGGGAACTGTTGCACGGCGTGTCGCGGCGGCGGCCCTGGCGAGACGCTGCGCCCTGCGAGCGGAGGGCGCCGCGCTCCGCTCTGCGGGCCGGGAGGAGGCCGGGCACGACTCGGGACGCTGCTGCTCGGGAACTGGGACGTGGTCAGCGTGTCGCCCCGAGGCGTACGTAGTGAGCCAGAACGAGCGGCGCGACACGCCAAGCCACAGTCGCCACAATTTCCGACTGTATCGCTGTGAATCCATCGGGGTGCACGGGTCACTTGCAGGAGCCGTCACAACATCGAAGCGACAAATCGGATCGGATCGGGACACGCATCGAATCCGGCCGCATCGGCAAGGAGCCGGAATCGAATCAGATCGGTTGCGCCCGTATACGCACCTCCGCTTTGCAATCACTGGGCCGCATCGGACCGCATGGAAATCGAGATCGAATCGGATCGAGCTGGGTGGACTCGGCATCGGATCGGGCCGATCGAATTGACATTGGGCCCTGCCTTGCTGTTTGCTGCGCGTAAGCCGAAGCGTTACGGTCAAAGAGAGAGCGCGTTCGTGGTCGCGAGCTAGGAACGAATCCGTGGACACGTCGGAACCGTCCCCCAAAAAAACATGTGAAGCACTGGGAAAACTAGACCCCTGGGCGCTGGCCTCTTGAACCCTTGGGGGGGGTCCTTCCAGGGGAGGAGGATTGTGCTTGATCCAACTCAAAAAGAATCCTGCTATAGCTGGATCCATATCTGCTTGATTCCAATTCCGGCTCGATCCAGCTCAAGCGGAATCCTACTATAGTTTGATCCAAGTTCAATAGCACGCTAGTCGGGTTCGATGCAGCTCTAATATGTAGCACGCCGCCTCTGCGGATGAGAGTGATGGGGCGGGCGCGGGGTAGGTCGTGGGTGGGTCGCGGGCGGGCCGCGGGTGGGTCGCGGGCGGATCGCGGGTGGGTCGCGAGTGGGTTGCGGGTGGGATTCCCGCGCGATTCATGCAGGACTCACGCTTCAGCAACCTGCCTGCTCGGCCTGGCCACCTGGACCCGCATGCCCGACCCGCCCGTTAGGGTATACCCGCCCGATCAGCCCGGGTTCTGCCACGTGGTTTCTGCTTTGACCCCTCTCCTGCTAATTTCTCTTGTGCTCTATCGTTCTCCATCCCCCTCCCATCCGTCCTCTCTTCCCCTGTTGTCGGGGCTGCGCTACATGCGCGTGGCAGGCAAGGATGAGATACCCCCAAGATGGCACGATCGAAGACGAAGAGCGCGGGTACCGAGGGTGTGGGCTATACGTGTTGAGTGGCACGCGAGCAGATAGGAGCGAACAGGTTTAAAATGATTGTTGAATTTCCATGTGCAAAGAATAAGTATTGTTGCCCCCCCCCTGCCTAGTAGCCATTGTGTGTTTTGGTGCTCCTCCCAGGACTCGCACCCTGCATTCTTTTTTTCCCAGGGAGAGCGAGGTGTCACCAAACTGGGCCCCTGGCCCCCGAGTTGCCACAACAACGGCTGCCGCCGAATACTTCCCCACCATGTACTCCAAAATCGCACTCTCGCGCGGGACTTCCTCACAAGTTCCGCAGGAACCGCGCTATCGCGTGGGCCTCCTGACGATGTATTCCGACGCCGCGCCCTGGACACTCAAGACTTGCGCTCTCGCTCTGGCCTCTCTCCCGGTTTTCTTGGGAACCGCGCTCTCGCCTGAGCTCTCCTCGCGATTCATGCAGCACTCACGCGCTTCAGCAACCCACCTGCTCGACCTGGCCGCTCGGGCCCGCCTTCCCGACCCGCCCGCTGGGGTCGACCCGCCCCGCCCGATCAGCCCGTCGGGTTCTGCCACCTGCTTTCAGCTCTTAGCCCCCCTTCTGCGAATCCCGTGCTCCATCCTCCCCCCTCCCCCTCGTGAGCGTTTTTTATCGGCGTTTTGACATGGTGCGGAAAGGGGGGGGGCGGGGGGGGGGTCTGGCTCCGGACCTCTGCTTAGTGCGACATGGGGGAGGGACCCAAACAGCCAAGGTCTACTCCATGGGGGGGAAGGGGAGGGGGGGTGCGAGGGCCGGCGCCGATCGGCAAAACCTAAGCATTTTCTTAGGGTGGAGGGCTCAGGGTGAAATCCATAGGGGCTTTTGCACCTCGAAAATCAA